GTTTTGCCATTGCCTTCTTCTGTGTGTGAATGGGGTAATTGTTGGGATGCCACGGAGGAAAACTCCGTGTTGCCTAGACCACGGCCTTGCCCAACACAAGTTATAAATTCGGGCACCGCCGGGAATCGAACCCAAAACCCCAGGATTACAAGGCCAGCGTGAACCACTCTATAAAGTATAATAAATTCTCCTCCGGCTACCAGCCGTGTAAGGTGGTTTAATGGAGAGAACACCAACGTTTCGACAACCATCTTCGTCCTCGTCCTCAGGGTACAGTACCCTCAGAACGAGGACGAAAGTGGTTCTCGAAACCACCCTACACGGCTGATGGCCCACGGAAGAATTCCTTATACTTTGTCGCCGTGAAAGCTTCATATCATATATCACTCTGTAGAGAAGCGATCTAAGCCACAGGTAGCTTATATTTAAACATGTTTTTCACATTATTACAAAACAGCATGTTCAACTTTTAATTCAGATGTTCTCAGTTCTCATAAAGTTTATTCCAAGTCTTAAATTTCATTTAAGTATAACAGTTACTATTAAATTATGTCCGCGGATAGAATGTCCCCAAAAACAAAACAGGTATTTTCATTCATTTACTGAACCGAAAGCTTAAAAAAGTAATTAATGTTTCGATTCTGGGCAGGGGGAGAAATCTTTTCTCGGCCAATATAGTCCCCAGCCCGGCTCTGAGCAGAAAATCGTCTAAATAATATTTAAACACGCAGTCCGTACCGCAAAGAAAACGCAACGCCTCACCATTACAAACCACAATCATTTGACGCTGTCCACTCGGATAATCGTACGAGATACATAAATACTCTTTGGGCGAAATGTAAAACTCTTGGTTGATAAAGCAGGGCGACACATTACCACCACTACCAACTACGTCTAATGCAGTCTTCTTGACTCTCTCCAGGCGAATTCTTCGAGACCGCTTCCTTCCACATCCTTACCTATTCATTAATTACCCAATCATCTATCGCTGTGCAATTTAGACGACTTACAGCGTCATAAAATGAATCACGATCGGAGACTCTTACTTCGGAATGTGAAATTACAGCCAGTTTTCCAGAATTTAAGACTGGATTGAATGGCCTTGAAACGCGCCCGTCGGCGTAATAAGATGTGATTCGCTGTGATTTCAGGGAGAAGCTGTCAACCTGACGCTCTACTATGAGAGTCTGTGCCCTGACAGCATTCGCTTCATCAGATTCCAGCTCTACCCGACCTGGCTTCTGCTGACCGATGATAACCTCTCCGTGGATTTCGTTCCTTACGGGAAGGCAACAGTAAGTAACTGAGCACAAACGGATATCACAGGTGAAGTTCAAGTTTGTTTAGGCTACGTTAGGTTAGGTTAGGTTAGGTTCGATTTCAAAGGTTAGGTTAAGATACATTTTGTTTGATTTGGTTTGGTTAGGTTAGGTTTGATTTGGTTAGGTTAGGATTGATTTGGTTTGGTTACGTTAAGTTAGGTTAGGATAGGTTTGATTTGGTTAGGTTAGGTTTGATTTGGTTTGGTTAGGTTAAGTTAGGTTAGGATAGGTTTGATTTGGTTAGGTTAGGTTTTATTTGGTTTGGTTAGGTTAAGTTAGGTTAGGATAGGTTTGATTTGGTTAGGTTAGGTTTGATTTGGTTTGGTTAGGTTAGGATAGGTTTGATTTCGTTAAGTTAGGTTTGATTTGGTTTGGTTAGGTTAAGTTAGGTTAGGATAGGTTTGATTTGGTTAGGTTAGGTTTGATTTGGTCTTGTTGATTTTGGTTTGGTTAGGTTGGGTTAGGTTAGGTTTGATTTGGTTAGGTTAGGATTGATTTGGTTTGGTTAGGTTAAGTTAGGTTATGATAGGTTTTGATTTGATTTGGTTTAGTTAGGTTAGGTTAGGTTTGATTTGGTTAGGTTAGGATTGATTTGGTTTTTAGGTTAAGTTAGGTTAGGTTTGATTTGGTCTTGTTAATTTTGGTTTGGTTTAGTTAGGTTAGGTTTGTTCCGGGCTACATCTGTCCACAGTTATGTTAAGCAACACACAGATTGGTTGGGACAGATTGTAATAATCGAGGAATCTCCCTCTTGTCATCTGCCTACAAAATTTTATCCAACATTATTCTGACGAGGTTGACTCCATATGCCATTTAAATTACTGGTGGTCATTGGTTGTGGGTTCCAAAGTAATACATCTACAATTGGTCGAATTTTCTACATTCCCTTGATACCAGACAAAAACTAGGAATACAATGGGACAGTCCATCAACTATTTACAGACCTCAAGAAAGCCTATGACTCAGTTAAAAGAGGAGCTCTTTACAATATTTTGCTTGAATCTGGTGTACCTTAGAAGGTAGTCAGGCTAATTAAAGTGTGTTAAAATTAAACCTCCAGCAAAATTCGTGTAGGTAAACATTTGTCCGATATATTTCCTATTCAGAATGGCCTGAAATGGAGATTCTTTATCACCACTGCTTCTTAATTCTGCCTTGGAATATGCCACCAGGAAAGATAAAAAATCAGGGCGATTTCTAATTGAATGGGACGCATCAGCTTTTAGCCTATGTTGATGATATTAATCTGTTGGGCGATGATATAAATACTATAAAACCAACAATGGACACCCTTTAGAGGTAGTAGGGAGGTTGGTCTAAAAATAAATGCAGAGAAGGTAAAGTATGCGTTCATGTCTTAGCATCAGAATTCAGGACAGAACCAAAATATAAGGATAGCTAATGAATCGTTCGAAAATGTGACAAAATTGAAGTACTTTGGGACGACTCTGACCAGTCAGAATGACATTCATGACGAAATCAAGAGTATAGTAAAATGAGGGCATGCCTCATGTCATTCAGTCTAAAAATATTTGTCCTCCCGTCTTACATAAATAGGAAACTAAAGGTTAAAATATACAAAAGCGTATTTTTGTCAGTTGTGCTGCATGAGTGGAGAACTTGGTCTGTCACTTTGAGGGAGGAACAAAGTTTAAGTGCCTTTGAGAACTTGGAAGATGGATCATGGAGAAAACTGCATAAAGATGAGCTTCGCGGTCTCTACGCCTCACCTGATATTGTTAGGGTGATTAAATAGAGGATGAGGTGGGCAGGACATGTGGCACGCATGGAGGAGGGGAGGCCTGAAGGGAAAATACCGCTGGGAAGACCTAGGCGTTGGTGGGAGGATAACATTAATGGGAATCGATGGAGCAAACTGGATTCAGCCAGCGCAGGATAAAGTCTTATGACAGGCTTTTGTTAACAAGGTGATGAACCTTCGAATTCCAGAAAGAAAGTGGGTTATTCTTTGACAATCAAAGTATAAACAGTCGATTTTTCAAAGAACATATTGTACCACAGATTGAATAAATCTCCTGCTGTACCATCCGTTCTTTCTCCGAGACAAAGCAAACATTTACAAGTGGCCCGGAAGCATGCGGCCATCTATTGTTTGTTTATAACCGCATATCCCGTGCTAGGCCTATATTTTGCGGTTCTATAAAATGGTCGTCTATGCTGTTAGTATTTTCAAAACACATTTGACGGGTTAACTCGTCTCATTTCAATAAAGCATTTACGTACATAAAAATCAGTTTCAGCACATTATTCAAAAAAACATGCTTCACTGACCTTGCTGTGTTGTGTCCTGGCAATCAGCTGTTTCCGCCCCATTCTCGTCACACACACACACACAATGCCCATTCGATTAACAATCGACGTCCAGTATTTGTAACTAATAGTACAGTTCTACTTTCGCTGGTCACTTTCCTTAGAAAATCATAGCACAGCCTACAAACAGGTTATTTCAGCTGGTACAGTAAATCTGCGTAAAACATAATTTCGATCAGAACACAAGCTATTTTAAGTTAGTGTGGTTTTTCTCAGCCTCGAATATTAGTTATAAATAGGACATGACTACTTTCTTGAACTCGTCTATAATCATGCTTAACCTCACTTTATTCTAGTTGAAATATCATAAAGAAACTTATAACCCTTGAAAAAATGCCTAAGAACCATCTGTCGACCGAAATCTGCACTATTCAAGCAATACAACATGGCTGCTTTGTTAACCTATTACGGAATGTTAGGTTACCTCACGATTTCCAGAAAAAGAAAGTTAAAGTTCCATTGTCACAAATTAACTTCCTCACAGCACTTCCTAGACTTTCATTTAATATGCACGCTTACGTAATTCACGGATGGTAAAATTACATTTTGGTAAAACTGCCGACGTGATACCAGTCTCATCTCACTGTTGTTCTTATGTGACGTCACCACGGAACTCAAACACATCTCACACTTCTGAACACACATTTCGATTAAACGCATTGTAATAAAAGTAGAGTAGTCTGTACAAATAAAAGCTGAAGTAAACCTTAATTGTAAATTGACACTTCAAACAATGGAACTCCACACAACCAGTTCTTAGCGTATGAATCCTTTAACCTGTATTTTACGTCATCATCGACAACTGGAACCGGAAGTTCGCTTAATATCGATCTTAAAAAAAGTCGCACAACGATACAAGCGCTATCGATTACACGTACGTCACCACATCGATATATGACATCTATTAATTAATATATGAAGCTAAACCCTCCACATCATATTCTTCTTTAACCACGGTTTCCGTTTTATAAGGGTCAATGATCAAAGTCTTTAGACTACACTCTACGATTTCTTCCCTGCCTTCGAATTCTATTAAATGGCTTCTTCTGGGTCATCCCAAGCGTTTCTTAACCTTAAATATTACTTGTAACATCCTTCTCAGTATAAAATCTCCACGTGAAGACTCTAACCAATACATGTAATAAATGAGTTTCTGAAATTCAGAACTCTCTTTGCTTAAAATACGAATTCTTCAGGAATCAATGAAAACTGAATTACATCTCTTTCAATCAAATTAACGCTACTGTGTTTTAAATTGTAAGCTACGTTAATGTATCACGTTTAACGACATATATTTGGAACCAAAATATATTCATAATTCGATGTTTGTTTTGGTGGTAGTTAATTATTTAACAGATTCTAGTACATTAATTACAGGAATTAATTCTTTGCCGATTTAGGAATCGGGTAGGATTCATGGTGAAATCAGAGGGGGTTAATCACAGATGATGTCAACTTATCAAGATATAAATATATTATTTGTGTTTCTGTGTGCTGACCACATGTAATTTTCTGAATTTACCTGTTCTGAATCTTACATCTACATACTATCATCAATACTTCATTCTCGGATACTGTCAATCTGTGTTCTTTCATCAGATTTGGACATCAAATTTTCCATATAAAATCACATGTTTAATTATAGTATACTGGATTGGTGTGTGTTGTCTGTGAGATATGCTGATGCCATGAGATATACAGTAACCGTAGATACGATACATTACTAAAATAAATTATTCTGGATTATTTTCAGCAAAGCAAGACGTCAAATGGGACATGGGTATTTGAGTGTCAACACGGGGAAAATGAATGTCAGGGAAACAAAGAACAAGCATGCGCCCTCTCACTGCATCAAAACAACGCCTCGATTCAAGTGCAGTTCATCAGCTGTGTCATGAGCGCATGGAGTCCACCTGAGGCTGGATCTCAGGTGATTCCTACGCCAGGATTGTATCAGTCCTTAGCTCTTGAAAGACTTGAGTGTTCAATGGCAAATTCTGGCGATAAATTGATAAAATGAGGATTATCTGTTTCCAATACAACATTTCAGTACTGTTATAAATTACAGTTTCATCCCATAACCTATTTCTTACAGGAAGCCATCTTTATTACTTGTTCAGGCCGTGAATGGATGAAGTAGTTTCAAGCAATGACTACAGATGGCTGAAGCTTCCTGTATGTTCTATGACATGGAAAGTAAACACAGGACCCTCTGCAAATTCATGACCTACTCAGTCACGACTTAGTCGACACTTTCGATTATTTGATCATAGTTTGGTCCCATTTAGGTTAGATAACTGGGACTCTATTAAATACAATTTTTTTCGTGTCTATACAAGATGGATGATATAATGATTACATTTCATCTTTATGATAGTCATCACAAACACGCCTGTCCATCTGCCTCGACTCATCCCACGGATCCTCCAAGTCACCTTCTCCCCTCATTCTGCGTGATACCAACCTTAACCTCTTGTCCCATTCCTGGGCAAAATTTCCCTCGTGGACATTCGTCTTTTACGTTCATGATCAAAATCTTGTTTGGAATTCTGTCGTCATTCACTCATGTGTGTCGAAAGCCAAGCTTACAGTTAGTGCCATTACTGAAAATATTTTAAGATACTGATCACAAAGTATGTGTAAAGAACTTGCAAACTACAAGTAATTAACCATAATACAGATCAATTATTTAATCATCACAAAATATTCTGATATGAGTTGCACCCTAGTTTTAAGGGAAATAGAGTCAGTGTCTCGCATTCATGCAATAATATTTTAATATTTAATAAAATATTTTATTGTGATTAGACAATTAAATAATTATAATCATCACAATATGACGCAACATTATCATCTCACGCATTCATGCAAGTTAATGTAGCATACTTAACATAAAACTGTGAATGTTTCAGTGCGCAGAAACTCTTGGCATCGACTATACTCCAATTGAGAACTGTGCCGAAGGAACGCAGGGAGACGAACTCCTGGCAGCACTGGGAGATCGCACTCACAACTTCACGCCGCAAATAACATTCGTGCCAACAGTTGCAATTAATGACGTGAGTGACATTCCAATAATCACCAATTTATATCTGAATAAACTGATTTATAAAATTATAAATTACACTAAAGTCCATAAAAATTCAAACCATATATAAAATATATCTGGGACCAGTCTGTCTCTTTTATATTCTTGTTGCTACAAATAACAGAGTATTTTCTTCAAAGCAGATTCGCCAACTAACTGATCAATCAATTATAGTGATCGCAGTAGTTTTTGCTCGTAGAATATTCAAGGGGAAGGCTAGGAGCGAGTCACTTGTACGACAGTACAATGTTTCATCTTCCTACAGTTTATCAGACTGAAAGCCCAAACAAAAGAAACACACTGACCGTGCCACCTCAGGTACACAGAGTAGGTCCGTCCGCCAGCTCCGCTAGCTTCTCCACTGGTCTAAAAACTACTGCGCTGACCATAACCTCACTCATTTTCTTCTGCACTCTGTCTGACTACGGATAAACAAATTGTTTCATCTGTTTCTGTCACGTATCACAACCAAAATAATGTTGGTACTGGGAAAATAGTTCTCAGAGCATCAACAAATGTTGGAACTCTGTTTCAGTATCTAGGTGGTTCCAGGTGAGATCTTGGAACAGCAACTTGCTATCACGAGTGAACTTTTTTGTGATTATTACTTAATGTCTCCATGAAACAACATGACAGTATCTTAAAGTAGGCCATGACTGCTTCCTTATATATCAGTTTTAATTCAACATTCACATTTATTCTATTATTACACGTTTAACTAAGCAGTTGAAAGCAGTTATTCAGTAAACAAAGATTAAGTCGCTGTGTACAAAGAATTAAGTGACGAGTAGTGGCTCACAAGCACACGCGATGGTTAATTATTTTACTGAACTACAGGTAATTAATATTTTAAAACAATCTGCAAGTTGATAAGGTAGTATATTTGCGTCATATTGTGAATTAGGGACACAGTAATACTTCTAGATGTCTTCCGCTAGACACTTCATGTCTCTATCAACTCATCACCGACTAATATTGAACATCAGATGAACCACGCCTTATAAAAAACAATACCTTCGTTCTAATATATAAGAGTAATCTGATAAGAACATCTTCAATAAACTGCATAACATTGTAAAAGGATTGTAATTCGAGTTTTAAATTTACCAATCTAATTTATACCTGAGGACGGTTAAATATAACCGAAACATGTCGTAAGAGACGTTCCAATTTGTAAATCGATCATCCGATGCGGAACGTGAAATGATATTTTAAATATTTTATATTTTATCATCTTATTAAAAATTGTGATTTGACGGAAAATATTAAAATATTAATCTGCAAGTTGATAAATAATTCATACATATGTATTTATATATTTGCTATGATAGAGACACCAAAGTTCCACAGACATGCCACTCGAAGTAGAACAGACATTTTGTGTCAAAATTTAATTTTCTATCTCTCTCAGATCTGAATATTGGACCGAAACAGGAAGTTGACAGTTGTTCGTTTTCATTCTTAATTTGTAGACGAAGGTGCGAGGAACAGATATTTTTATAGGATTATTCCACAGTTTATGTTAATTTCAAGATGATCTTCAAAATTTGGTGAGACTAAAGAACACATGTCTGTCTTGTTCACATTTCTCATCAGTTGGATTTGCGACTCTCTCGGTCGAGAGCGTGAAGATGGCCGTCTTTTCATTAAATGTTATTACTGTTGGATCACACTACTGCAACGATGACCTTATATACCATTGATTTTTTTATTATCTTGGATTCTCTATTAAAGTTATCACCCAAAACAAGGAGTGAACAAGAACACGTGTACAATTTCAGTGTACTCCAAAGAGCACACATTTCAAATCTCGTGTAAGTGATGCAAATAATAAACATCATATAATTTATCTAAGTTTTATATCGGAAGTTCAGTGTTTAGCGAAAGACATATGCGAGGTGCGATCGAAAGGTTTCAAGACTGCGCCTATAAAAACCCGTACGCTTATCTCAGGTATTAAATTCATCCATCACCCTCGAAGTAGTTCCCCTGGGAGTGAACACAACGATCCCAGCGCCGCTGCCAAGCCTGGAAGCATCCCTGGAAATCTTTCTTTATCAGCCTGTCAAGCACCATCTGCGATTCTGCCTGAATCTCTTCTATCGTCTCAAATCTCCTTCCCTTGAATTTTCATCTTTCGGAAGAGGAAGAAGTCACACGGAGCTTAAAAAGGAAGTTGGGGTCGGTTCTTGCAAGATCTTTCAGCTCCTGACAAACGAGAAGTCAAGTCGATTCTGCTTCTGGTCCTCAGACAGGAGCCTTGCGTCGCATGTGGAGTTCTTCCTTTAGAATCAGCTGACAGGTCCCATAGCCTATCCCAACAATGTCGCACAAGTCGTTGATGGTACGACGTCGATCTTCGTAACAGTTTCGGGCGTTGTGCTCGAAGATGGTCGTCCAGAACGCTCGTCATCATCGCCAGAGGTTCGGCCATTTTTAAAACGTGAATGCCACACAAAAGTTTGCGGACTCCCCAAATGTTTGCTTTAGCATTTCATAGGTTTCCTTAGCCGTTTTGGCGAGTCTTTGGCAACATTTGATGCACACGCCATTCCGAAATCGCAGGAGGGTCGGTGTAATGCACTACCAAAACGCCCGTAACTAAGAAACAAATGCTAATTCGATGATGCCGGCTGGCACACTGATTCACTATGAATGTAGGCCGCACCCCCTAGCGGCAGAAGCTCGTACTACATCCGGTTCGCCCTCTATTGACACAGTCTGGAAACTTTCCGATCGCACCTCGTACATAGGCTTTATTTACTGTTGTGTTCACGTTTCATGGTCATTGCTATGCCCTCAGATGATCAATACTCATTCATTATCGACGATTTAATTAATCCTCAAATGAATTTACTTAGAACGCAGATAACCAGGCGCTGTAAACCCTTCTTTTTCTAGGTCTACAGCCAGAAAGATCAAGATGATGCTATGTCAGACCTAACGAGCGTGATTTGCCGATACATCACAGGAACAAAGCCAGACGCATGTAATGATTAAAATAAAATCATAAAATACGGGACTTTTTCTAATAATAAACTAATATTTTGAAGGGTAACATAAATGGCTTTAATTCTACGGAACGTATGACGGAATTTCTACGTCTCTCGTCTTTTATAATTAAATACAAATATCCGGAAGACGGTCCAGGGACATATTCAGTTCCTGAACACTGCAGTCACGATAAAAATATAATGATTTGTTGAAGAGTTATTGAAGTCAATGGCTCCATTATGAAGCTAATAATTACTAGTGACTACAAAATGTCTTAAAAAATCTAAGAGTCAGATCACTATAAATGTCTGATAAATAATGTATTCAGTATTTTGTCTGTATTAAAAATAATAAAAATTAATTTAATTAATAACTATGTCAGTAATTTGAATCTCCCCTGGTTGTATTACGAGCGCTACGCAGGGATAGCCCTCCCTAGCTTGATCGTCTGGGTCATTGGGGTACTCGGCCCTCTCACCAGGACAAGGTGAAAACCATGAGAGGGCTTTGGAAATTCTTTTAAGTATTCCATCCTCTGTGTCAAGACGTGGCTCGCTCTAACAAAATTACCATCACCACCTGTAAATTGCAGCTTATGCGTCATTCAACTGTTCGTGCTCCGTACTATTACAATATAAACAACAGTCGAAGTCCAGATGCTGGACCCATAATACAGGGATCTGTATCTCCGACTATATCTAAGACATCTTCAGACACTGGACTCAGCTCTGTTTTAAGAAAAACTCTCTGGAACTAAGTAGACTGTGTCTATGCCCCATTTCAAACATATTATTATTATTATTAGTGTTCTGTCTGACGACAGGTCCATATGAACAGGATCCTTCCATCCTTTTCTCGGACTGGGACCTGTTCATATACGTTCTTGGCAGATGATCCAGAAGTGGTTTGCCATTGCCTTCTTCTGTGTGTGAATGGAGTAATTGTTGGGATGCCACGGAGGAAAACTCCGTGTTGCCTAGACCACGGCCTTGCCCAACACAAGTTATAAATTCGGGCACCGCCGGGAATCGAACCCGAGACCCCAGGATTACAAGGCCAGCCTTCTAACCGCTAGACCACCGTGGCTTTCCGATCGAACCTCGTATGTGTATGAAAGTAAATTAGACCAGAAAAAGCTTGAATAGAAATTAGTAAGTATACTCCAACACTGTCAGAATTTTCAAGATTCATAGTTAATGAGTTTCACTAGTAGACAATGTGATTCTGTAGCTCATTGAATAAAGAGACTGTCTCTAGATTCAGAAAAGGGGATTGCCTTGGGTGATAGCTGTGTGGAAATTTCAAAAGATTGTGCATTATAAAGCTTCTAAAATTTGCGACAAGATCAGACAAACATGGACGACCCCATAAAGGTGTGCTCACATCATAAAGAAAACACCTAAAAATGGCTTTTGTACGTATAACCACCAAGAATGGACACGAAAATTGCAAAGCGACAGATATTACGTCTTCAAGTTCTGAGCTGAGTTTGTTACGACACGAGATACCGGCTGTTTACCTTGAATTTACGAAGTAAACATTCTGTGACACACCTAACTGGTTTTCATAAGGAATCTGACTGCGACGCGGAGAAGATGAGGCTTCTGATACATTCAGCGAAACAGGTTGTTGCCATAACGGACCAGGATGTAACCTGTCTGCCTGGGCGATCCATGAACAGTGTTGTAGTTCTCGAGAACACCAATGGCGGTGTAGCTGTCGCTGTTGACGAGTGAGTAAAAGCGAAGATTCCCTTCATAACCTCAAAATCCTTTAATGTGCTAGCATCAGTTGGATTTATGGCGAGCCGTAATAGTACTAGTTGCTAATTTTAACTTCAGAGGTCGTACTATTAGACGGCGGTTTCTAATCTTGTAAGTCCGAGGTCAATCACCTGACAGTCATTCTCGATTCTCGTTTGGGACCTCGTCGCAGACAAAAGTTCCATTGCAGTTAACTTGTGTATTATGAAAGAATGAATTTCAAATTGAAGCAGACAACTTCGGGCGTATTTACCATTTTCGAGGCACTAGGTGGGGATGAGTGGTCAGCTTTGCTCCTGGGAAAATACCTATGTATAGGTCGCGCGAAAACTCCTGGCGCATGCGCAAAGGACTTATTTTGGTCGTATGAGATGGACTCGTCCGAAGCACGCGCTAGAGGGGTGTCAGCTTCAGTTGGTTTGTAGCTCTAGCCGTGTTTAGTTCGGTGCGTTACCGCAGCTGAGGCTCTGCGATCTCCAATACAACTGAACTCCGCTCTCTCGCCTTACACATCACGCATTTAGGTGCAATCACTACTCGCGCGACTTTTATCCACTGGATAGGTGACTGGGTGGGCCCCAGAGCCGGGCTTTACTATTACTTTTCGGGAATTAAGTAAAATGGTGAACACAAAGATGGCGTTGGATAACCCATGATTCAATTATGCTAATAAGTAATTTTCTCATTATATAATTATCGCTATTCTTTTATTAATTTGTGTTGTAAAATTCTTAAGATGTGGTTGTAAAAACTTTAAAATTCTATTCTTCTGTTATAACAAGAAATGAAGTTTTGCTGAATGAAGGAGTTGAGTTCCACATCTCACAGAAAGAAATGTTTTCAGTGAGGGTAAGATAGCAGCTGTCGGAAGTACGCAATATGTCAGGGAGTTATGGAAGTATGATGACTTTGATGAAGTCATTGACGCCACAGGAAAGTGCGTGCTTCCAGGCTTTGTGGATGCTCACACACATCCTGTGTGGGCTGGTGATCGTCTCGATGAATTTGCAATGAAGGTATTACGGATTCTACACTATCTATGTTGCAAACTCATACTGAGTCTTCTCAGTTGTTTTGAAACCAAGATATTATTACCACCACCATAAAGACTGACACAAAAACTTATGTTTAGCCATTTCAATCTTGTTCACATTCAAGAAAATTATTACTATAAAAGTAAGTTTTCATAGTTCTCTAACAAAATATACCAGGTGATTCAAAAAGGACTTTACAACTTTGAAAGTGTATAGAAATTTATTCAGAAGGCTTACAGAATCGGTTGAGGTGTCATTTTGTAGCAAAACAAATCAAGTTTGACTCACGTTGTGCTGTAGTACAGAATTCCGTCACCGCGAGCGCAAGCGGCAGTGCATTTGAAAATGGCTCGAAAAATTTTTCATACCACAGTTAGACGAAGATGACCAAAAAGGACGCATTGACTTCCAACAAGACGGCGCACTACCTCACAGAAGTCCGGGATTTCCTCAATAACCGTTTCAGAGGTCGGTGGATTGGTCGAACAGGGTCGATAGCATGGCCACCTCGTTCTCCAGATTTGACACCTCTCGATTTTTTCTTATGGGATTTCATTAAAGATCGTGTGTATGTTCCACCCTTCCCTGCCAATCTCACTGAGCTCAAAGCTCGAATCACCACCGCAGTTGCAGAAGTGACACCGGATATGCTGGATCGTGTTTGGCAAGAAATTGATTTCAGGTGGGATGTCTGCAGTATCACCAATGGCAATCACATCGAACTAAAATGACTGTTTGAGGTAAAACTTGATTTGTTTTGCTACAAAATGACACCTCAACCGATTCTGTAAGCCTTCTGAATAAATTTCTATACACTTTCAAAGTTATAAAGTCCTTTTTAAATCACCCTGTATTATGAACCTCATTTGACTGCAGTATACAATCATAAAGGGAAATGGAATTAATACCAGAATGTTTTAGATCAACTAGCATAAGTGGCCGTTCCTCACCAGAATTCTTATTAAAATAAACTGTACTGAAATAACAGAACTGCTTCTTTACAAGACAGCCTCATGCAGATATATTTGGAATGAATTATTACATATTATTTAGTTTGCCAAGAAGTGAAACAGCAGCAGACACAGATTACTTTTGTACTGTGATTGTGGTTATGAGAGACCAACAATCAGAACAGAGACACAGAGACGCAGCGGGAGAAACAGAAAACACTTTTTATTACATAAAATGAAGTACAAAACAGTGTTTTCTGATTATATTGAATTTATTTTGAAAATAGGGTACTTCGATACCTGATTTTAAAATTACAGGAGTATTCATTTGAGTATTATTTAAGTCTGGGCATTGAAGAATAATACTGATTCCAGTTAGCTGGTGCTTCATACTTGGAAATCCACAATGCTGGAGGAGGTATCTTCCACACTGTCGACAAGACAGTGAGATGCAGTTCAGAGGAGTTATACCAGAGTCTGAAGGACCGTTTACTTAAGATGCTGCAAGCAGGTAAGTTTTTTGTGAAAATACACTATACGAGGTGCGATCGGAAAGTTTCTAGACTGCGCCTATAAAAACCCGTACACTTATCTCAGGTATTAAATTCATCCATCACCCTCGAAGTAGTTCCCCTGGGAGGGAACCCAACGATCCCAACGCCGCTGCCAAGCCTGGAAGCATCCCTGGAAATCTTTCTTTGCCAGCCTGTCAAGCACCATCTGCGATTCTGCCTGAATCTCTTCTATCGTCTCAAATCTCATTCCCTTTAGCTGAATTTTCATCTTTGGGAAGAGGAAGAAGTCACACGGAGCTTAAAAAGGAAGTTGGGGTCGGTTCTTGCAAGATCTTGGAGCTCCTGACAAACGAGAAGTCGATTCTGCTTCTAGTCCTCTGACAGGATGCGTCGCATGTGGAGTTCTTCCTTTAGAATCAGCTAACAGGTCCCATAGCCTATCCCAACAATGTCGCACAAATCGTTGATGGTACGACGTCGATCTTCGTAACAGTTTCGGGCGTTGTGCTCGAAGATGGTCGTCCAGAACGCTCGTCATCATCGACAGGGGTTCGGCCATTTTTAAAACGTGAATGCCACCCAAAAGTTTGTGCACGACCCATTGCGGACTCCCCAAATGCTTGCTTTAGCATTTCATAGGTTTCCGTAGCCGTTTTGGCGAGTCTTTGGCAAAATTTGATTTGTTCATGAAAATCCGCCATTCCGAAATCGCAGGAGGGCCGGTGTAATGCACTACCAAAACGCCCGTTAACTAAGAAACAAATGCTAATTCGATGATGCCGGCTGGCACACTGATTCACTATGAATGTAGGCCGCACCCCCTAGCGGCAGAAGCTCGTACTACATCCGGTTCGCCCTCTATTGACACAGTCTGGAAACTTTCCGATCGCACCTCGTATAGATGCGTTTGGTCCATGGGTTGATGCACGATTCTTGCCCGACTATTACATATGTTTACGGTTCCACATAAATTAGAGTCTCCATCATAAACAAAAGCCTCTAAATTAACCATTTTTTCAGTAATCATTTTCAAAATATTCCTTTGAAATAAATTGGACGAATCCAGAAATTGTTTCGGTACGCTACCTGTGACCGCCACTTACCACACGTAACAGGTACCACCACAGCAGAATGCAAGACGGGCTATGGATTAGAGACGGATGCTGAGCTCCGGCTGTTACAAGTTCTTCAACGAGCCAAACAACAATTGCCAATCGAGATCTCCATTACGTACTGCGGAGCTCATGCCATTCCAAAGTAAGTTCTGATGAAATTTCATTCTGTAGCGGTGAAAACGTCGATCGTCGGTGCTTCTTAACTCAATGGATGAACCAACTAACACACAGACAACCAGCTGACAGTTGTTCAGCTGCTTTTTCAATAACATCTCAGTAGCGATTAAACCAGCGATTAGGTGTGAGTGGTCAGCCTGATGCCCCAGCCTGGCTTTACCCCCAGGAAAGGACCAGGAGGCCCCAGAACCAATCTGGATGCAGAGGCTAGAGGATAAATTCTCTATCCCTGTCGGGGATTGAACCCCAGGTCATCCAGTTCGTAGGCAGTCACTATATTGACTGAGCTACCTGGACCATTTTTAATTTTTTGTAGGATATGAGGTTCTCACAGTGGTAATATGAAGATAGCTGCCTTCTGGGTTGCTGATAGAGGCAGAAGGGACCTATGAAACGCTCGTAAACTTCGACCAGACTACAGGCGAAGCAACCCAGAAGACAGCCATCTTCATACTTGTTGATAAAATCATATATTTGTGGACACTGACGGTCAACGCTATAGAAGAACATTGAATAATTACCAATAAGCCTTCTTGTCATCGGAACTGAAGCACAGCTGAAGGGATTAATCTCAAATCAATTCTTTATTTACTCAAGGTAATAAACGTTGTAGGAGTTGGACAAAAAATCTCTAAGTGGACAAGATTATTTAAAGGGTATCTTTAATGTTTCTGAAGCATTTAAATCTAATATTGAATTGCAGAGGGAAGACCCCAGAAGAAGCTACAGAGATTATTGTGAGAGACCAAATACCACAAATCCAAATATTGATGAACGAGAAGCTGCTACCTGTAGAAAACATTGACGTCTTTTGTGAGAAGGGGGCGTTTGATACAGAGCAAAGCAGAAGAATCTTGCAAGCTGGAAAGGAAATTGGTCTCAGGATAAACCTCCATGGCGATGAATTAAATCCAATGCAGAGTGCTGAGGTAAGATGACTTCATGGATGGTTCTTAACCCCTTTACACATTTAAATATTAAAATATTACCATAATTAACATTTTAAATATTTAAAATATATTAAAATGATGTTTTCTATCGAAATGTTCGATATTAAAGTGATGTTCTAATGTAAATCGAACATTTCGATAGAAAACAAGAACGTATATGAACAGGTCCCAGTCCGAGAAAAGGATGGAAGGATCCTGTTCATATGGACCTGTCCTCAGACAGAACACTAAATAATAATAAGATGAGGTGGTCTAGCGGTTAGAACGCTGGCCTTGTAATCCTGGGGTCTCGGGTTCGATTCCCGGCGGTGCCCGAATTTATAACTTGTGTTGGGCAAGACCGTGGTCTAGGCAACACGGAGTTTTCCTACGGGGGCTTCCCCGGTTTCTCCGTGGCATCCCAAAAATTACTCCATTC